GTTTGTTTTTGTATGTCAGAAAATGCTTCAGACTTAATTACATAACTAGATTGTGTTTGTTACTTCAAGGATGGCAATGTCATCTTTGATTACTTCTTTAGGTTGGCTTAGCAACTGTACAACTTGCTAAAGCTTATGGAATGAAGGTGCTGGGAACAGCAGGAACTGCTGAAGGTGAAGAGGTGGTCAAACAGGCTGGGGCCTTTAAGGCTTTTAACCACAGACAAGATGGATATGTTCAGAATATTTTGGTACTGTGGTATTGTGATATTAGTATTATACATGTAGTAAATTTTGAAATTTTGAAAATATGTACGTGACTCATGAAGTTTAAAATTAAAAAGTTTTTAATTAATTGATATTTTATATTATTTTATTTTCTACAGGATGCAACTGATGGTCATGGTGCAGATGTCATCATAGAAATGTTAGCAAATGCCAGTTTATCAAAAGATCTGAAGCTTGTGGCAAACAAAGGGCGCATAGGGGTATGCCTGTTTTAGAAATAACATTTAGTACCTCACGCATGACATTAATATTGGAAGAAATGATAATTCTAATAACTGGCAGTACATATTTCAGAACATCAGTCAACATCAGTGAGAAAGATAAGACTTAAGCCTCTGCCTACTCATCCCACAACTTATTTAGAATTTGCATGAGAACAGTGAAACATTGAGTTTAATTGAAATTAACAACTGTGCATTGAACCAGAAATTTGTAAATATACAAAATCTCTGGGCTCATTGATTAGCCATGTTATTTTTTTAGGTTGTTGGCAGCAGAGGAACAATTGAAATTAATCCAAGAGAAACCATGGCTAAGGAATGCAGCATTGTTGGTGTTCTCTTACCTCAAGCTACCAAAGTAAGAAAACTTTGCATTTAAATTAACATTATGGGAATTTTTATTACAAGAAGAAATTCTGCAGTAAATATGAGTGAAATTATCGCACCAGGCTGGTGATCATCATTGTTTATGTTCACTCTCTAGAGTTATTTATACTAACATTTGCACCCATTAAATTAAAGGATCCAACACACAGGATCTTTTAAAGTACTGACATGAAAATTTGTGAGATCATTACATCAAAAACAATATCTTTTATGACAGTCAGGCTATTCTTGAAGTATGTTAAAGTATCCTTTACACTATGATATCTTAATAAAAGGATCCTAGTTAACAATTATATTGTTCTTCACGGCTACAGTTACGTTTATCTACTTATTCATTATTTCTTTGTCATACAAGAAAGTACATACAGGAGCTGTAAACTGAAGAGGCTATTATTATAAATTGTTAAATTTCTATTATTAATTATTCATATTATTCTTATTATTACTAATAATATTATAATAAACAAGATTCTCAAGTTAAATCTACTAAATGATTGATTGCATAGGCTTTTAGCTAATATTACAGTGACTTACATACATGTATCTTAAATGGATCTTTCAGAATATCCAGTTTTATATTGTTGGGCTGTGCAGACATTGGATATAAAAAGTAGTGGTAGGAAATGTACTTTCTAATTTATTTTATTAATGTATTTTTCTGTATTAATTTTGTATGACACTTTATAGAGTGAGCTGCAAGAAATGGCATCTGCAATAGCAGCTGGGCTGCAGGCAGGTTTTTTGAGCCCAATTGTTGGACGTGAATATCAGCTGAGCCAAGCTTCAGATGCACACAGAGATATTATGGAAGGCAAAGGAGCAAAAGGAAAGCTCGTCTTGCTAACTTAAGACAGTGTATGTTGCAAAGGACATTGTTAGCATCGTGTTTGCATTTTTTTAATCTGTTTGCTTGTAGTGAACAGCACATTCTGCTGAAAATGTAAGGAAGTGAATTATGATGTATGTATTTTACTATTTGTATGGCATGTTTCATTAATTACACACAGGCTAATGATAACAAAAAGGCAGCAAAATATTTGAGTGCCCTGTAAGTTCTTTATGTAATGGTAGAAATATATGCAATGTTTCACAGACAATAGACCTCTTTAGCTTGGGCGGTTTGTTTTCCCATTGTAGACCACGTGATGATACTCTTGAGAATTCTTGCTTTCAAATTTTTAAATAGTCGCATGTGCATGAATGAATAATTTTAAGAAAGATAAAAGAAAACTTCTCTGGAGAATATCACATGGTCTACAATGGGAAAACAAACCGCCCAAGTTAAAGAGGTCTATTAAGAAATAGAATACATGTACATGTGTACTGAGTTTTGTCGAGTTATAGAAACATGAAGTTTGGGAGAACGAGAAATGTTATTAGAGTTCTGCCAAACTTTTACGAGTGTTTCTATAACATGATAGAAACACGAAGAACATGGTTTCTATTTTTTTTAGAAAATGCCGCGACGAAAAAGGGAAACAACTTGTTTACTTTGATCATCAAAATGTAAATTCTCTTTGCTCGCATCATCATTACATCAACAGCTCTTGCTACATGTAGTTCTGTGTTTCTATTGAGTTTTAGTATAAATCTACTAACGTTCTATCACGAACGCCGTTGTCTGATTGGCTACGTACACTACTCACTATCTATTCTGTGATAGATACTGAGTAGCATAGCAGTGTGCCCTTGCTAACAAATTGACGGCCACTTCATGCCATTTTTGAAGTGTCTGTGAAGAGGTTTTAGATAAAGTTTTGAACGACTGGTAGATTTATACTAAAACAATTAGATTATTCGCTCTCAATTTCTATGCGTGATAGTTAACACGCGATAGAAATCTCGAGCTCATAATGTAATTGTTTAATAGAAACACGATTTTTAACCAATCAGCGTGTGTATTTTCTTTAAAAGGGCTGTTTTTTAATCCAATTTTTCGAATATGTATGCACTTAATAAACCATTCATAGAAAGTAGTATGATCATTTGCTGCCGTCACAGAATGTCACTACAAACAGGAACTTGTAGGATTATTATGTGCAATAGATACTGTACACGTGACTTGAGAATTCTAAGTCAAGTTTATTGCTCTTTGAATTTTTTAATACTATATCAATTGTTTAACCTTAGTCACCTTTGATACAAACTGTAAAATTAAAATCCGCCCAGGAAGAACATCCTTAAGAATTTATTATAAAATAATAGTTTTTTCCCCTCCATTCGGTCCAGAAATTCTCAGCCTACTTTATACTTATGATTCCAAACTTGTCAAGAAGCATTGATGCACAACTCAAAAAGCAGTGATATTATCAAGCAACAATGTTAATATTTTAACTAGTGTAAGCGTTCTTCCTAAGGTTCAATGTGATGATTGTAGTAAATTTCTGATACAGAAAGCTGTACATTGTAAAGGTGCACTTTTTGTATGTTATATTACTAAGCTGAGTAAGCAGGCTCTAGCTTTGCTAAATAATTGTAAGTGCATTTATTTTTAATTTATTCTTCAGAAACATAATTTCACATACATTGGTACATAAAAAAAATATTTATCCTAACTTGAATAGTATTAGAAAAAGTATATTACAAAGGTAAACTTATTACTCTAGTAAGTATTTCTTAACAAGGTATATGCTCACAAACGTTTCTTGGATTTACATCAAACAAAACACTTGGCTAGATATTATTTTTATGGCTTACATTTAAATATAGGACACCTTTCCAGAGGGGAACCTTCGGCTTAAGAGTATCAATTAGCAAATAAAAAAGCCTAAGCCTTGTATTACACTGTAATAAAGCATGACCTATCTATATTTATAATGGTGTATAAAATATATATAAGGTATTTGCTGTGTTATGCAAAAAGGTGGTTATTAAGTTTTCTGAGATCTGTTTAATACCTCTTGTGATGTAACTTAAATCTAATTGTCATCCCTATAGCATCACCTGTGAGTGCTAATTGCTTCCCGGTGAAAGCAAAATTGAAGCTATGTGAACTAATGAGCTACTAAACTAGTGAACTAATTTGTTGTAACTGTGGTGACTTTCTGTCAATTATCAATGCAACTGTCACTATTTACAGTGAGCAAGCAAGCACTGTTCATTTATTGTTCGAACCTGCCTTATAACACTATACATGTAGCTATAACATGTACATGTATGTTAACAACAGTCGTTAAATAAACCTATTAATCAAATAGGCTTTTAAAATGTATAATCAGCACACACATTTCTTGTTTTGTGCTCATTAGGGTGAACTTACGGCAAGAATTAAACTCCTGTCTAATATTATGCATTGTAATTATTATGTTAATTTCAGATGACGCGATCAAATGTCTTATTTCTTTTTTAAACGTCAAGTTAGATTCTGTTACACTATTTCTAAAAGAATTTAAAATTTTTCAAGTATAAAAATTATTCATATTCTGTGCTACAATTTATATATATACATTAATTCCAGTCATTTCATTCTATTCCAGTTTTTTTTTTTTTGTCCTTTTTTGAGTATGTATAATTTCTTTTCTCGTACTAAGATGGTCAGTTTCTTAGGCACGTACATTAATGGCCTGTTTACGTGAATTTGTTATAAAAGTGTAAAATGTGGTTAAAAATTAATATCTTGGGTTTTTACAATTTAAGCAGTCCAATAATTCTACAATTCTATTACCCAATAACGTTTCTTAAACTAGTCCATTTGTACATACAGGTCTGTTACTGAGTACTTCTTACAGCATTTTAAAGAATTTTGCATGTACGTCTACATTTCTCTCTTAGAAACATTACACTAATACTCGTAAAATAGTAGTCACCATTGGTAACACAAACTTTGATACACCAGTTGTCCTTTAATAATTGTCTCGTGCACCCTTGTCAAAATTGTGCACCTCAGAGAAATATATACACACACAACGAGTTTCTGATGGTATAGTTTGAATTTGATGTATATGGTGTCAAGGTAAATTATCTCTTTGATTTGAGGCATCCCCTGGAAGAAAAAATACCTTGCCGTGATAAAATAATTAAATAAGGTTTCCTTTGTAAATGATATGTAAAACAATATTACATATTGGAAACTAGAAGTGAATTTTACATGTTTTATAATAACATTTATGTCTGATAATAACATTTACGTCTGAACCAGCATCTTCCAACATCTATGCTTTTTATATTATTGTAAGATTTATTTAACACACTTATCATTCATACCATTCTACGATTTAAGCCTAGTGGTGCAACGCAAATATCTGCTCTACTAAAGTTATTTCCTGGCCTGAACATATTTAATTTCTTGCCATTTCTCACATATTAGCAGAGCAACAGCTGGTTGGTTTACATGTGAACCTTTTAATTTGTTTAGTAGGTCACCAACAGTTCCACGATGACTCGTATTTAGTATTTCCAACAGTTCTTTCGTAGGACTTTCTACACTCCTTTTGTACGCAGTTTCCAGGTACTCTAGTTCAACGTTGTTAATTCCAAAAGCCTTTCCCAATTTTTTCCACCCATATTCACCTTTGTGGCGCAAATCTAGTGTCTTTATAAGTATGTTTTCAAGGGTTGGAGGTAACTCAGACAAAGGAAGACCTGCAATGTTGGAATATAAAAAAAAAACGATTATTCTGTTTCTGATATAACACGAACTAAACCTTGCAACTGCAGGAACATTGGCGACACGACCAGAATTTCGTGAAGTCTGCCAATCTTTATCAATTTGAGATCGAAATTTGTGCTTGCATTACTCATGATACACAATCAATAGTCTCAAGGTAATGGCATATGGTAATTTTTAACAAAATAAAACCATTATGTGATGGAAACTGTAATGAAACTAGAGCCAGCTAGGAGTCACCAGCCTTTAAAATCAGAGAATCCCAGCATTGTTTTAGGAGTTAAATTAGATCCAGCTCTGATATTCCAGGTAAGCCTTCATAGTTGCCACTGGTTGCAAGTTGAGAGGTTATTTAATTTTCCCTGTTAAGTTGCTCCGTACGCTGTGATATTGTCTATTACCTCGCTCAGTTTATGTGATGTTTGGGATTCCATTTAAATAATGAATGAGTGACAATCTCGCTTTACATTAATTGAATGACAACATTTCAGTTCATGACTGCCCTGAACTGACTAGAAATCCATGGGTGGTTAAATAGCGACAAATACACGACTTGCAGCACTTACTTTCAAGGTCACCAGTATCTGTACTTTTCTCAGAGGAGTTGTCAACCCCACTGTCACTGATGTGAGTGATTTCTTGACAATCAGAATCTGAAAATGAAAGCTGAGCAACTAAGACAATATAAAATAAAGAAAATCGCATAATACAGTAAGTGTGGCAAGTGTACGGGTGTCGATTATGGCGAAGAGATTTTCGCACCCTTGATCTACAGCTTAACAAGAATTGTTCTGCTTAGTTTGGAGTCATTGCTATTGCTGCCTATATTGTGATCAATACTGATAATTGTTTTTTTCATTAGCTATTTTGCCACCTTGCATTACCAAAACATTTAATAAATTTAAATTTTAGTAACTTAAGTATTACAACTGAAAATAAATTCATATAATTTAACCTTGACATCACTCCTCTTAACAGAGGGTTGCCATTAATCACAACGAACAAATTTCATTCCCCTTAGAGCCCATTATATAACATTACTTCTTGAGAAGCAAGGCAATTTCTCCTTGGTGCTGGCATCAAATAAGAAATGCATGCGTGGACCTAAATGCACTGTAGATTACGAGACAACTATAAATGAAAATATTAGGAAAAATTGCGTCTCATATGTAAAACGTGTTTCACTCAGCTTGCCTTTCTTCAGTTATTAGAAGTTGTACCACTTGCAATGAACTTGTGGCCAGCAGCATGCAGTAGAATAGAAGAGTCTAAATTGTTTGTAACGGTTTGTACTTAGCTGCCTCACCTGTCAGAGATCTGTCACGAAGGAATGGTCGGTATTCGTCGCCATCTATTGATATATATTTTGCACAACATGTAATAGTACAACCACTTCCTGGAAAATGCCCAGACTGCATCCTCAATAATATAATCACTCCAATTAAAACCAGGATAATTGCAATGCCCACGAATCCGGCTACGAGTACAATTAGAATGGTCAGTAGCTTATTTTCTTTACCAGAATTGCTTGATGTCGATTGCAATGTTGGCTCCCTGACAGAATCATTTAAAGTAGTTCCAAAACTCTCCTGCAGTTTGCTTTGAAGAGTTACCAAACTGCCGGCCACACTGTTTTCAACAGAGGCTATGGTAGCGGGATTTGAATTATTCCCTTTAACAGCGTAAGTAGTTCCTTCCTCGACTACCTGAGAAGCATTTTTGCCACCATATCTTTGCATTTTCACGTTAACCTCTCTTTTAGATTTAGATTTCTTTAACTGGGGTACTATGTTCTCCAATACCCAATTTCTTGCATGTGTTGGATTATCACTTTGAGAAGCACTTCGTTGTGTCATTGCTCTTTCAGGTCCAGTTGATTCCGTTGCAAACAGTTTGGCAAAATCCTCCGACTTTAGGACACTGCTCTCCTTGATTTTCAGTTGCAGGGTGCAGTTTTTTCTTACGCATTGTTTCAGGTAAATGCATTCTAACTCAGCAAAGCGCCTGACCCCACAACACGTAGAACACCTCTTACACGAATCCAACGTATAGTCTTCTTGATAGTATCCCCGAGGACATTCGCCACATTGTGTATTCTTCTCTGGTGTGCACTGGCTGATGGTCTCTCTGAGTCCACAGGTTTGGCATGGTTTACACTTGCCTTTACCCTGGCTTTCTTTATAAGTGTCTGGTGGACATTTCCTACACGCTATAGAGGTTTCTGATTGTGTTGTGCTGCCACATGGCAGTAGAAGCTGTTGCCCCAAAGGACATTCTAGGCAAGGCTTGCAACTGATGGTCACATTTCTGTCGTCTAAAATCTTGTATGTTGAGTTTGGACATGTAAAGCCATCAGGGTACTCATCATGATCTTCAGGTAATCGCCAGAAGCAAATCTGTGTGATAAATAGTTTTTATAGAAGGGTAATAAATAATATTGATACATGTATTGAGTCACGTATTGATAAAAATACCGAGACTATACATGACGTTCGCACTTTATAATCGTGCATTTTATTTTTATTTCCCTCGATGAAGCAGGCGAAACTCCACCACTTGCCTGTCGAATTGCAGAACCTCGTAATGCCTTTGAAGGCCAAACTAATTAACGAAGGTGTGGAATGGATCATAAAAAGATAAGAGAACACTATCCATCCATCTACCTGCCTGCCTGCC